TCTTATTTGTTCCTTTTGACTAAATCCCAGGGTTCTCTGATGTGCTCTTTGTTTCCTTTAAACTTTTCCCCCATTTTTCTGTTGTTTTCTAGGTTTCCTGAATCTCACCTTCGAGCTACTTGATCTTTTCCTAGGTGATTGTTATCCTGCTATTAAGAGCCCTGTGTACATTTCGTATATCACAAATCACATTACTCAATTCTGAAACTTCTGAATGTAGGATTCTCATTTCCACTTATACTGCCTGTTTGGTTCCAGGTTTTCCATCTGCAGTGGGAGAACATGAGGCATCACCGAGGGACACGAAGGGGCAGGGGCCTGTCTACAGGGTAAAGGACCTGGGGGCCTGGGTTTGGTCATCAGAGACCTGAGACGTGGGGACTTTCCTCTCCAGCTGCCATTTCCCCCTCAGCAATTCCTGTTTCCTGAGAGCTCCTCAGCACTTTTCCTGTGCTGGAGGAAGAGGCCTGGCTCTCAGGGCCCCAGGGACAGGCTCACGCCTGTCCTGAGCCACAGTCAGTACCTCCTCCCAGGGAGGCCACATACCAGCTTCCCCCATAACCCCCCTTTCTCTACAGAGGTTCCCCCATGCAAATATGCACACGGAACTCAGGGTTAAAACCACCTTCACACTCACCCCAACTCGGGCTCCCTCTCCCCCTGACACGTTGTCTAAGATCATGGACCTCGTGGTCAGGAACGTGCATCAGCGCTGGTTTCTCCTCTTTCTGATGGCAGCTCCCCGATGTGAGTACCCCCTGGACAGATGCTTCAAGGTGAGCATGGGGCCTCTAAGCCCGTGACTCAGTGTGGGTCTCTGTCCCCAGGTGTCTTGTCACAGATACAGCTGCAGGAGTCCATCTCTTCCACCCACGCACTATCTTCAATAGTAAGTGTTGATAAACACGTTTTCATATGCCTACAGCCCTTAAGAATGTTGATTTAGGAAAGAATCTGTTTATTTCCCACACAATTTTATGATGGGTGATTGGTTCTGATATTGGGCTTGGTGAGTGCTATGAATATCTTAGATATTAGGTTGGATCTGAGGGTTGGTGGGTACACGTTTTCTCTGATTCAGTAAGGAATTTTAATTTTAATGTCATTTACATTGCCAGTAAAATCTTTTAATTGATATAGTGAAATTGATTGATTTTAGTTTGCCATCTCTTTGCCAATGGAGGGAAAATATAGATGAGTACTCCAAGATAGTGTCACAGAGAGACAGGTCAAGGTTTTTCTCTGTGTATGTTAAAGATTATGCTATCAAAGCTGCATAAGGATTGAATTCTATCTTCTATTGTTGTTTTTGTATGTGGTGCTGTTTTACCAAGACCATTTGTGGAAGAGATTTTCCTTGCTTCACTCCATAGGATGGAATCCTTTCCCAACTATTCACGTTGGGATCTAAGAATTTATTCTGGGCTCTCAACTCTGTACAGTTGGACTGAGTTTATATTCCTGAAACTCACTGTATAAATTCTATAGCTTCATTATATTATTGAAAGCCTGTTCTCCAAGGGATGTCACAGGTCTCAGTGAGGCTTGTCAGCACCAGAACCCAAAGTTATTCCTGCCAACCTCTGGCCTTCCCAGTCCCAGAGAGAAAACACCATAGGCTTTGTGATTGCCAGAAGTTACTAGAGTCACAGCACTAGATGAATAGATTGATCCATGTCCAGACCACCGGGCACTTACACGCTAACCTCCCACAGAGCACTAGGAACAATGAAAACATAATTCGTTTGTTTAATGAATATGGACTGAATCCAGGTAAGAACATCAGAACATCCAATGCCCTGTGGGTGTGCGGACAGCAACAATCCTCTCAGTGCTCTCTGACCTGAGGAAAACACTGACAGGAAGACTCAGTAATCTCAGGGACAGAAGGAAGAAAACAATGATCACTGTCCCTGAAACAGAACTGAAGGTGAGAAAGAACTGACTCCACGGCTGAAGGCGGAAACACAGGCAGAATTGAGCGCTGCGTTGTGTGTTGTGTGTGCATCTTGGTTACTGTACTTGGTGATGCCATGAACATGACTATGATCATCTCCAACAGTTAATGCTTTTGGTTTTCCAGAAGACACATAAAGCACCCGAGGATCATTTTTGTCTGAAAGGGAAGTGGTGAGCCCTGGTGACTCTCTGAGAAGGCAGTGGGGAGTGAGTCCAGAGCTGATTTTGTTTTGCCTTGTGCTTGTGGAAGGAGGAACCACATACTAGCACTTCACTATGTGCACAGAGGCTGAGTGAGGTGCTGTGCTGTGAAGACACATGAGGTGTGTCCTGACTCTGGACCTGCAGTGATTCACCCACATTGATCATAATTCCACCTGAGGATTCACCCACTCTCTCAGCTGCTTGTGCACCCAACATTGAAGCTGACTTTGTCTTTGTGATTGTGGTCAGCCCATTACAAGCATTTTCTGTTGCCAACAAACACATGGTCTCTGTGTTCTTGTTTCAATTTTTCTCACGTAACCTAATAATTTTGGAATCATTGTGGAGCCAAAGTTTTCACTCATTTCATGCTTTTTGTGTTCTCAGTCTCTCTTTATTTATTTATTTATTTTTATTAGTGAAATACCATGAGGTACAGTTGTAGATTACAATTTTCCGTGCTTGGGTTTCAGTTATACAATGATCGAGTACCCATCCTTCCACCAGTGCCCATTCTCCACCACCACTCATCGCAGTATCCCTTCCACCCCCTAACCCCCATCCCACTCTGCCTAAGTATCTCTTTTTTAAATGGTCCAATCAATGTAAATGAAATGTTGACCAGAATCAAAAAAACAATACAAACCTTGGGGAAAATATCTTCCCATGCCTCATCTGATATAAGATTACTAAAACATATATAAAGCACTTATAGAGCTTATCAAGAAAAAATCAACCCCATCTAAAATGGGGGTTTTGAACACATAACATACTTAAGTAGACTTTGAGGCAGATAATTGAATGAACAAATTCTCCAAAGCTCTTATCAGAGAAATGCAAATGAAAGAATAATGAGATATAACCTCATACCAGGGAGAAGGGCATACAACACAAAGAACCAAAACATTCTGTGTTGGCCTAGATGTGGAGGAAATGCAATAATTATTCTGGTTGGAATTTATCACCATGATAGACTTCTTTGCAAAAATCTTAGATACTTCCCAATATATGTAGAATTGACCTTCCATATGACCCAGAAATTCCATTGTTTGTATCGGCCCCAAAGGATCCAAAACACTAATTTGGAAATATATTTGCACGCATATGTTTACTGCATCACAATACTGCATTCATAATAGCCAACTATGAAAAAACCAGATTGTCTGAGAAGAGACAACTGGATGAAATGCAGTACATCTACATAATGGGATACTATGTGGCCACCAGGGAAAATGAAATCATGAAATTTGCTTATAAATGGATGGACATGGAGATTTTGGGCTGAGTGAAATGTGTCAGAAATAAAGGGATTGATACTGAATAATTGCACTCTTCCACGGGATTTATACTTTTATAAAGATCAATATTCAGTGCCAGGAAACACAGGGGCCTTAATGACTAGTTAAGGTTTGGAAACTTGCTTCATGTGTGGGGGGTGAAGGAAGGAGGAGGAGCATTATGAAATGAATAGGTAGATATGATCAGTCTGGACAAGAACTGAGTATTGAAAGTAGGAAAAGGGCTATACATAGTAACCTTTCAGTGTGTCGATTGCAATCCATAGACCAGAGAGAGTGAGTGAGAAAGAAAGAGAGAAGTAGAAAGAAACAGAGAGATATCTCATGCAGGATCCTAGAGATCAATAAAGGAGAATGATGGCTCACATGATGATGACCAGATTCTGTGTTTCTGTTCTGCCGTCCCTGTCACAACCTTGTGTAGCTGGATGGCGTATTGGAGTATTTCAGGGTCAGGGCAATGAGGACCATACACTAGCATGCGACAGGGACGAATGGGTATGGTGCACAGTCGAACAAATAGATGAACAACGTGATGACAGTGATACAGTTATACATATATATATATATAAATTATTGGCAAATCATATATTTTTTTTTCGAGGATACATTGACCTCAGCGATACCTGAGTGCAAGCCAGGAGTCAGTCCTCGGAACACCTGATGTGGCTCAATACCAAAAGTGCCATAAAAGAATATGATTCAAGAACAAGGCTTCTGAAGTGAACAGCCAGGATTCAGTTCTGTGTTAGAGACATGACAAGTTGACACACCTGTGAGCCCAGAGTCTCTCCTTGCATGGGGCGACAGGGATGTAGGGGGCGCCAAGTTCCTAGACTGAACCCCGAGTTGCAGGCTTGAAGGGGTGTAGAAATGGAAGAAATGGGTGCAGATATGCAGAAATCTCTTAGAAACGAGATTTCCTTCTTCAATAAAACTAAATTTTTTCAGGAAAATTAAAATTAAAATCAGTATAGGACACAGAAGGTGAAATTGTGCATATTTATCTTGAGGACAGAACACTTAACCTATTGATAAGGCAGTAAAACCTGTATGCAGGTGATGTCTCTGGACTTATTAATACCTCCAATGGAAACCACAGGAGCATTAAGATGGCTTTGTAGTCTCAATGTAGTATCCCTTGGGCAGTTACAGGATCCCAGAAATAACCTCAAAGCTCAGGTGTGTCCAGATGTGTTCAGACCACACAGATGTGGGAGCCCTGAGGGAAGGTCCTGAAAGGGCTTGGCCGCTCCGGAGGGGGAGCTCTGTTTGCAGAGTCCAGGGACAGGGCAGGGTCTCGTCTCCTCAAAAAGGACCAGAACGTGTACCTCTTCCATTCCCTTGAGGATTGACTGGTTAGCTTCCACAAGCCCCTTCTCAGGTTGGACCAGGCCTTCAGTTATAAATTCTAACTCCTCATGAATATGCAAATGACACGAGGGACACTGAGTTAATACAGATGTGTTTGTGTCCTGACACCATCACACAGCAGGCACATCCACACCTTCACAAGCCCCTGAGTGTACTGTCCCCAGCATGGACTGGACCTGGAGAATTCTTTTCCTGGTGGCAGTGGCTGCAGGTAAGCGTCCCATGCCTTGGCCTGAGGAACGGGGCCAATCAAGTGGAGTCCAACCACTCCTGTCTGCTGTCCACAGGTGTGAACTCCCAAGTACAGCTGGTGCAGTTGGGGCCTGAGGTGGGAAAACCTGGGACATCAGTGAAGATCTTCTACAAGGCGTCCGGATACACTTTCACTGCCAACTTGATGAGCTGGGTGCGACAGGCCCTGGGACAAGGGCTCGAGTGGATGGGAGACCTATACCCTTACAATGATGTTACAAGCTATGCACAAAAGTTCCAAGGCAGACTCACAATCACTGTAGACAAGTCCACGACCACAGCCTTCATGGAACTGAGCAGGCTGAGCACCGAGGACTTGGCCGTGTATTACTGTGCGAGACACACAGTGTGACAACCACATCCTGAGTGTGTGTCAGAAATCTGAGAGGGAGGCAGCTATGTGGGTGATGAGATGACAGGGAGGCTGATACTCCTGACTTCCTTCCTCCTTAGAGAGTCAGGGTCTGAGACACAGAATGGGGCTCACAGGGCCAGGCTTCATCTGAGGGAAAGGCTCAGGATGTCTCTCTGTCCTTCAGCAACAGCCAAGAGGAGCATGGCTTCTCTCTAGAACACATAGTGTTATTCACATTTTCTTCCAGGATTGTCTAGTAAAGTGAACCAGATGGTACTGGGAGAACCACTTGGCAGTTGGACTGGGGTCATTGCAGGTTCCTGAGCCAGGGCTAAGAGTATGGGGCCTGCTTGAGGCAATCGACATACAACAGGATGATCGCGATCGTGTGATTCCTATGTTGAATGGCTGCACAAAATTAATGTCTAAACTCCATACCATATATTTTCATTGTTCCTGGTTTTTGGCATATTGGGTAAGCCATGAGGAGTTTGCCAGACTCTGCCATGTGGGCAGGTAATATTCGGTAACCTGCCAGGCTGTCCAAAGTAAGAATGAGATAATAAGATGTTTGGGTTTATAGTCTCTGGGTCTTGGCCGTTGATGGGATTACATGGCGCTGGGGGCAAGATGGTGGGTGTGACCCCTGCCTACTGGAAGATGGAGGATCTGGGTGGAGGATGCTCAGCTCCGATCTGAGCAGGCTTGGAGATCTCAGCCCCGGGTCCCGCATGCCTTTGTTCTTCTGCCGGTACCTTCATGCTTGTGGAGAGTGGTCTCAGCATGTTGGTGGCTGGTTCTGGAGGTTTTCGGTTGCCGGAGCTCTGTTCGGGGCGGAGAGGGAAACTCAACCCGCCCCCCCCCTCCAAGAGGACCCAGTGAGTATAGCCAGGATTGGGGGCAGGAGACTCTGCACTGTTCTCTTCTAGGAGCTGGGTTTTATAGTCTCTGGGTCTTGGCCGTAGATGGGATTACAAGGCACTGGGGGTCAGATAGAGGGTGTGACCCCTGCCTACTTGAAGATGGAGGATCTGGGTGGAGGATGCTCAGCCCCAATCAGAGCAGGCTTGGAGATCTCAGCCCCGGGACCCGCGTTCCTTTGTTCCTTTGCCGGAATAAATAATCAAAATGAATCACTTTCTCTCAACTGATATCCAGGACATATATCAATGGACCTATATCTATGCACAATTGCATAGTCTAGATGAGTGGAAAACAGCAACATATACATATACAATCATATATGAATATATGTGTATATGCGGCTCCTTCTCTCCCGCTGCCCGTGTTTGGTAGTCTCACCCTGCTTCCCCCACCCCGGGGAGATCGATGGCGATGGGCAGGTGAAGGAAGGAAATGAGGGCCAGGCTGGTTGGTCTTAGTGGAAGTTTATTCCAATCCTCTCTCCATTCACTTCTGCCTCTGTCCTCTGCCTTCCCTCCTGCTTTTTCCTCCCCCATGCTACTTCATTCTCCTTCTAAATCCCCCCTTCATCCTCCTTCTCTGGAGTCTGGATTCTGATCCTGATCTCTTTCTGCTCTTGCTCTGGAGTCTGGATTCTGATCCCTCAGCCCACTCTTACAGTACAGTTAAATCCCAAAGCATGAGCGGTTGGGGTAACAATTACACATAGGTGTGGTCACAATCAATAGGGGTATAATTCTTTCCCTCGGAGAAAGCCGCTTCTAGGACAGATACTCTCTCAGCAGGACAACCCACCCTAGAGCGGAATCCCGTGGGTTTTCCTCTTCTTGTCCAACAAACATATAAGCATATAATATAAATTATTTTGTATAGATACAGTAACAAATACCTTAAACTTATAGAATTGCCCTCCTAGGGCCATCTTGATCTCAGACTACAGTGGTCAGGCTAGATAGTCTTTCCTACCCCTAACAGGGTCCTACTTTCATCATTACTTTTGGATCATGACAGCATTTGTCTATGATCAAGCTCTTAACTTATAGTTGAGAATCGTGGCACTACTCAATGCCTCTCTTGCAAAACACAGTACCCAAAAGAAGAGAGAGAGAACAAGGGAGAATACCCTGCCACAGAGGCAGGGTGGGACGGTGGGGATGGGGGGTGGGGAGGATGATGGGACCCGTGGTGGTGGATGATGGGCACTGGTGGAGGGATGGGTACTTGATCATTTTATAACTGAATAACTGAAACCTAAGAACAAAATTTGTAAGTCTATAATTCTACCTCATGGTGTTTCACTAGTAAAAAAAGAAAAAAAAAAGAATCGTAGCACTTTGGCCTGGCCCATTTTGATGCCAGGGTAGCTCGTCGCTTGCCCTGTGTCCATTCAGTCCCTTGTCGGGACCCTGATTTTGGGGGGTTAGGAACTAAGAGCAACTGAGGCTTAAGTCGAGAAAGCAAATGCCCGGGAGTGAATAATATTCAAAGCCAATTAAATCCTAAGTTACAAAGCATAATGTTAACGGTCGTCCTGTATCTATACAAAAAAAGGGCATTGCTTTAAAGTAGACTGTTCATAAGACATAAGGAGAGGAGAAAGGCGCACCAAGTCCCTAGAGCAAGCCCCGAGTTGCAGGCTTGAAGGGGTGTAGAAATGGGTGCAGATACGCAGAAATCTCATAGAAACGGGATTTCCTTCTTCAATAAAACTAAATTTTGTGTTCTCAGGAAATAGAAATTAAAATCAGTATAGGACACAGAAGGTGAAATTGTGCACATTTATCTTGAGGACAGAACTCTTAACCTATTGATAAGGCAGTAAAACCTGTATGCAGGTGATGTCTCTGGACCTCCAATGGAAACCACAGGAGCATTAAGATGGCTTTGTAGTCTCAATGTAGTATCCCTTGGGCAGTTACAGGATCCCAGAAATAACCTCAAAGCTCAGGTGTGTCCAGATGTGTTCAGACCACACAGATGTGGGGGGCCCTGAGGGGAAGGTCCTGAAAGGGCTTGGCCCCTCCAGAGGGGGAGTTCTGTTTGCAGAGTCCAGGGACAGGGCAAGGTCTCGTCTCCTCAAAAAGCACCAGAACGTGTACCTCTTCCCTCCCCTTGAGGATGGACCAGTTAGCTTCCACAAGCCCCTTCTCAGGTTGGACCAGGCCTTCAGCTATAAATTCTAACTCCTCATGAATATGCAAATGACACGAGGGACACTGAGTTAATACAGATGTGTTTGTGTCCTGTCACCATCACAGAGCAGCCACATCCACACCTACACCAACTGCCAGGGGCACAGAATGGTTGTCCCAGCTGCACAAAGACAGGGCACTGGGGCAGGAATTACTCCCTTGTGAGTAGAAGTGTGGTGGGGTCTCCTAGCCCTGATCCAGGTGTAACCATCCACTTGTGTCCTGGGAGAGACAGGAAACTCAGTTCCCCTCACTCAGTGACTGAAGGAGACTTTCTGTTTCCTGTTCTGGGGAGGTCCAACGTACACAGGCTCCTGTGTTTAACATATCCTCAGGGGACCCTCAGGTCACATTCTAAATGACAAGAAGAAAGGAAATGTTTTGGCTGACACTGAGGGCGTGTTTTCTGCACTTTCTATTTTCTCAGGAAAATTCTCTCCTCTCAAATGTGTTGAGTTCAAAAATCCCAGATAGTTCGATCCATGCCCTGTCTTCCCTGATGAGGTTTCAGCATGAAGTGAGGAGCATCTCCGCGGGCCTGGGGAATCATCTCCCTTGCAGAGATCATTGATCAAATGCTTGGACCCAATCTCTCCCTGCATGTAGTTATCTCGTAACTACGGGGTCTGTGGGAACAAGGAGATGGTCCGTCTGTCTTGGGCAGTAGATGCTCAAAGTTTTATGAGTGCAGCATGGCTGAGACATAGCAGTCCACATGACCCTTAGTCATATGACAGAGTTTATTGGGAGAGCAATGGTCCATATAGGCTGAGGGAGGATGCCTGTGTGCAGTAAGGAGCAGGAGGCAGAGAGAAGCAGGGGATCGTTATGACTGGAAGAAGTTGCTGGAGCACTGGCCTTGATGCCCTGAGGCAGAGGCAAGATTGAAGTATTGCTGACACCAAAAATGTCTTTTTCCCAAGTCTCGAGCCATTGGGCACCAGCAAATCAAGGCCAATTAATAAACATTATTCTTAGAAATGTCACAAGTTGGGGCCTGGGGAACTCTCTACAGGCCCAATGTCTTCTAGTGTTCTAGAAGGGGCTTTGTAGGGAGAACTGCAAGACCTCCAGGCATCCAGTGGAACACAGTCCCCTTAATAATGATCCGAAAGGGGTGGTCCCCTGAGAATTCTGTGACTAAAAGGATTCTATATCAGGAAAGATTAGAAAACTCTCAGGGCTGTGCTCCAGACAAGAACAGTGTATGAAATTTCTATCACTGTGTCATGCTTTAAATGTGATTGCTGGTTGTGTGATCAGCCTAAGGCCACAGCTGTGTGAATATCCCAGTCCTGCTCTTAAGCTATGGAACTTGTCTAAGTGTTTGTTGGATATTAACCGAAAATACTTTAGGCTTCCTCTGTGAATTGCCACTTTTCTCCTCCTTGAGAATATTGCTAGCATCCCTAATTTAGTTAAAGTTTATCTTTAACCTTTCCTTTGTATTTTCATTGCCTCAGTTCGTCAAGTCGATTACTTATAAAGCAAAAATTTCTGGTAATTCTGAACTTTTTATTTGGACTGCTTTGCATTTGAAGTGCTGTGCATTTGTACCTGCTTTTCTATTTCCCCTTATAGCCTTTTTATATGTTTACTATAGAGTAATGTTCTTTGGGAAACACAGAAAGACCATAACTACTATGCTTCTACTGTTTGGAAGTTGATAGAATCAGAAATATATCTATTTCTAGGTGTAATTACATGGTCATAATTATTTAACTCACGCTTTAGTTACTGTATTTCCTAACACCTCAAAAGGGCCTGGGATGGACCCAGGTGAGTGGCAAAGCTACCCTGGCATCAAAACGGGACATTCTAGAAAGTATAAATGCATGGTCTTGATGCAGGCTGTTACAACTTAAGTGACAGGAGCCTCATGGGAAAGGACAAGCTGAACTGGCCTGAGGACTTAGTCTGGAATTTATGGTAAAAGCCTTGCTTGCTCTCAGAGCCCAGAGAACTAAGTGTTGAGATCTTTGTCCCTTACTTTGCTTATCAAAACAACTGCAAGTATTGGTAACTTATACAACTAGAGGGAAAGATGAAAGCAATATAGATGTTTCTGGGAGACAGAGTGTATTCTTGAATAAGGCTGTGCCCCGCCCCCCCACCCAGTGTAGGAAGTCCTGAGGAGGTGGGGAGGTAGCTATGGGCTAGGCTACCAAACCCACAGGCATCTCAGCAGTGCCCCTCACCTAAGTATACCTTATACTCCAAACTAGGGTCAGAGAGATGGTACAGTGGGCAGGGCCTTGCTTTGATCAATCTGGAGATGATTTCTGTCACTCCACCCCCTCCCACCCACCCCTCCAACACAACCCTGAGCTCCACAAGAGTAATTCTTAAGAACAGAGTTGGAAATAAGCCCTGAGAACCACCAAATGTGGGCGATATTTTAAAAAAATCAATTTAAAATCTTTCCAGGCTATTTTGTTCATCAAGGCTGTTGAGGCTAGCTTGCAACAAGGACATGCCATAGGACAGTCTCACTTTCTGAGACTGTCCCTGAAGGACAGAGGACAAAGGCTCCATAGTCTTTGACTTTATAGTGGTAAATTTAAACAGCATCTGAGTTTTCACATCTCTACTTTAAGTTTGGCACAATGAATTCATTTCTCTGAGAAGTGAGAGATACTGCCGTGTAACCCCATCAACAGCCATCCAGAGACTATAAAACCAAACTCCCAGAAGATAACAAGGCAGAGTCTCCTGCCCTTGGGCCTGGCTGTCCTCACCGGGGTCCTTTGGAGGAGGGTGGGTTGAGTCCCTCTCCACCCTGAGCAGAGCCCTGACAGAGCTGAAGACCTCTGGGACCCAGCCAAAGTCATGCTGAGATCACTCTCCACATGCTTGAACGAGGTTCCGGCAGAGGAACCCAGGTGTGTAGGACCGGGTCTGAGATCGCCAAGCCTGCTTGGTTTGGGACTGGGCCTCAGTAGCTAGATAGTTACACCCACCAACTGCCGTATAACCCCATCAAAGGCCATCCAGAGACTATAAAACCAAACTCGTAGAAGAGAATAAGACCTCTTATTCTCTAGTTCTCACTCTCAGAGAACCCGGGAGGCTACTGAGAGTATCATACCCGCCTATATGCCTGAGTAGGAACACCTGTGAAGATGTTTAGAGGCTGCCCAAAAGCCTCCATACGTTTCAGAGAGCTCAGCAAGCTACTGAGAGTATCCCGCCTGCACAGCAGAGCCTGATAAGCTACCCATGGCATACTCGATATGTCAAAAACAGTAGCAATGAGTTGTCCTCTTTCCCCTGACCCTGAAGGAGCCCCAATATGTCATCGGGCTGCACTTGCAAGTGACAGGGACAAATGGAGATGTTACTGGATCCCCTCAGCGATTTGAAGAACAACGGGGTGATAGTGATAGTGATAGACTTTGAGCAGAGAATTGTATGAACAAACTCTCCACATCTCTTATCAGAGAAATGCAAATTAAAACAATAATGAGCAAACCTCATACCAGGGAAAAGGACACACATCACAAAGAACCAAAACATTCTGTGTTGGCATAGATGTGGGGGAAATGCAATTCTTATTCTCTGCTGGTGAGAGTATCAATGGGATAGACCTCTTTGAAAAAAATCTTGGATACTTCCCAAAATATTTAGAATTGAACTTTCATCACTTGATCACTTGACATCCCATTACTCATCGATTTGCTCGAGCAGGCGCCAGAAACATTTTCATTCATCCTGTCACCTGCTAGTGTAGCCCAATGACATCTGCTCGCTCCAGGAACACTTATCACTTAATCACTGAACTTCCCATTAGTCGTTGATTTGCTCGAACGGGCGCCAGTAATGTCTCCATTTGTCCCTGTCGCGTGCTAGTGTAGCCCAATGGCATCTGTTTGCTCCGGGAATATGAAGGGCCTCAAACCGATCATTCATGGTCTTGACGAAGTAGTCTGACCATCTGGAAGGTGGGCGGCCACGCGGTCTTTTAACATACCATGGAATCCAGTCGGTAACAGCTCTAGTCCAGCGGTCGTCTTTAAATCTCATTACGTGACCAGCCCATCTGATTTTCGACACCTTTGCAAATGAGACAGCGTCCCTGATTCTTGATCATCGACGGATGTCAGAATTCCGGATTCTTTCTCTCATTTGAGTGAAACGTGATATTCCAAGCATAGCTCTTTCTATTCTTCTTTGGGAGACCTGAATAGCGTTCTCATCTTGTTTGCGTAGGGCCCAGGTCTCTGAGGCATATGTTAATGCAGGAAGAACAGTGGAATCAAAGAGATGTGCCCGGAGCCGGAGGTTCTTCGTCCTCTTAGCTATTTCTTCGACGTTCTTGAAGGCATTCCAAGCCGCTCTCTTTTTTCTGCGCACCTCGGGTGCCAGGTCATTTGTCATGTTGACCTCTCGACCTAGGTACACATCGCTGTTGCATTCGGAGATGGTTGTTCCATTGAGAGCGAATGGGGCGTCAGGAACAAGGCTGTTTCTCATAAACATTGTCTTCGTAAGATTCAGCTGTAGTCCTACCTTTCCACATTCATGGTCAAAGTCGGCCAGCATTTGTGCCGCTTGGCTGATGTTTGGTGTTATTAAAACAATGTCATCAGCAAAGCTGAGGTGGTGTCTTTGCCGACCATCTATCTTCACTCCCATTCCTTCCCATTCCAGACATCGCATGATGTTCTCGAGGGTGGCACTGAAGAGTTTCAGTGAAATGGTATCACCCTGCCGCACCCCTCTCTTGACATCAACGATCACTTCTTTGTAGAATGGTGAGATCCTGGTAGTGAATCCGCAATACAGCTCACGGAGGATCCTGATGTATTGGGCTTGAATGCCCTGATTGGCTAGGGCTTCAATGACCGCTTCCGTCTTAACAGAATCAAAGGCCAGGAACACAAAGAGCTTCAAATAATTCATTAAGGGTCTTGAAGAAGAAGTCTGACCATCTCGTAGGTGGGCGGCGACACACTCTTTTGACGACCTGTGAAACCAGTTAGTAACAGCTTTAGTTCAGTGGTAGTCTTCAAATCGAATTACGTGTCCAGCCCATCTAATTTTTGATGTCTTGGAAAACAAGACTGCATCCCTGATTCTCGATCGTCAATGGAGGTTGGAACTCCGGATTTCTTCTCTCACTTGACTGAAGCGTGATACTCCAAGCATAGCTCTTTCAATTCTTCTTTGGGAGACCCGAATAGTGTTCTCATCCTGTTTTGGTAGGGCCCAGGTCTAGAGGAGTATGTTAATGCAAAAAGAACTGTGGAGTCGAAAAGATGTGCCTGGAGCCATAGATAGTTCATCCTCTTAGATATTTTTCGAGGCTCTTGAAGGCATTCCACACTGCTTTCTATCTCCTGCGCAGCTCAAGTGACAGGTCATTTCTCAAGTTGAGTTCTTGACCTAGGTACACATGACTGCTGCATTCGGAGATATTTGTTCCGTTGAGAGCAAATGGAAGGTCAGGAACTAGTTCATTTTTTAACACCAACCATTAGCCAAGCAGCACAAATGCTGGCCAACTTGGACTGTGAGTGTGGAAAGGTAGGTCTGCAGCTGAATCTCACGAAGACGATGTTCATGAAAAACGGTCTAGTTCCTGACCTTCTATATAATCCAGAAATTCCACTGTTTGTGTCAACCCCAAAGGATCCAAAACACTAATTTGGAAATATATTTGCAAGCCTATATTCACGGCTTGCAGGACCAGCCACCACCATGCTGAGAGACCACTTTCCGCACACCTGAAGGTACCGGCAGAGACACAAAGGCAAGCGGGACCCGGGGCCGAGATCTCCAAGCCTACTAGGATCAGGGCTGAGCATCCTCCACCCAGATTCTCCAAATTCCAGTAGGCAGGGGTCACACGCACCAACTGGCCCCCTGGCGCCATGTAATCCCATCAACGTCGAAGACTCAGAGACTATAAAAACCAGCTCCCGGACATCTTATTATGACATCTTATTATCTCATTCCTACTTTGGACAAACTGGCAGGCTACCAAATGTAGCCTGCCCACACGGCAGAGTCTGGAAAACTCCCTTTGGCGTACCCAATATGCCAAATACCAGTAACAATGATGGATCTCATTCTCCTAAAGAGCCTTGAATATAATCTCAGGGTTAGGATGAAGCAGACGTTACTTGCGCCTGCTTGAGGTAATCGACAAATAACAGGATGATTTGTGATCTGATTTGTGATATTTACTGCATCACAATATTGCATTCACAATAGCCAACTATGAAACAACCAGAGTGTCTGAGAACAGACAACTGTATGAAATTACAGTACATCTATAAATGGAATACTATGCAGCCACCAGGAAAAATAAAATCATGAAACTCACTTATAAATGGATAGGCATGGAGATTTCAGGCTGAGTGAAATCAGTCAGAAAGAAAGGGATGACATATAATAATTGCACTCTTCCATAGGATTTATACTTTTCTAAGAGATTAATATTCAGTGCCAAGAAACACAGGTTGGAAACTTGCTTCAAGTGTT